CATACGGTTTAATCATAATCGTCATCATCATCGTCGTCGTCATCATCATCATCGTCGTCATCGTCGTCGTCATCGTCATCATCATCATCGTCGTCATCATCATCAGGGGCCCTTCGTCCACATTTCCAGTGTTTCAGCTGCTGTTCTGTCCAAGTTATTCCCACTCTTCAGACATATCAAGGAGGTAATGATGATGATGATAAAAATGATGATAAAGATAATGATAAAGGTGATGATAATAATGATGATAAAGATGATGATGATATGACATGATGATAATGATGAAGATGATGATGAAGATGATGATGACGATAGAAATCAGATTACGCCAATTTAAATAAAAAATAAAAGATTAAAAGATGAAATGACTTGATAAAATATCATCTCCATATCGTTCATACAGTTTTGTGATAAACTGATCAATTATCATTCAAAATATTATTACAATCATCGTCAACTTTACAGAAACACACCACACACACACACTCTAGAACGAATCTCTACAAATCGACATTTTGACGGCGGCATCGGCCGTCGGTGTGTCATGCACGTTCGGAGCACCAATTGGAGGTTAGCCCGATGGTGTAATGGTTAAGGTGCCTTGCACTGCTTTTGCATTGTCTGGGTTCGAAATTCAAACAAGTTCTCCCTTTCGAGAAATACTAGAGATAATTTTATTGGAATGTCAACCACTTAATCAGATGTTCATATTAATGAAATACCCAACAACCAATCAGGTTAAGATCAGATCCTAATTTGCATATTAATGAGATACACATCAACCAATCAGGTGTCTTCGATCGGATCTTTAATTTGCATATTAATGAGATACCCATCAACCAATCAGGTGTCTTGTTTAGCGTCGAGGCGACAGCTACATATTTCGCAGTTCGGAATTATTGGCGGGGATTTTATTCTGCCATGTGTGGAGCGCTGACATTCAGGCTACTGTCCGGTTTGACGAAATCTGAAGGTCATTTGATGTTGTTGGTGGTGGTGGGATGTTATATTTATTTATTTATTTATTCATTCATTCATTCCTCACTTATTTGTTTAAAAATCTCGTTATTTAAATATGTTTTAACAAAAACACAAATTCGCCGAATAATTTCTTTGATCATCAAAACATCTAACAAACAAACAAAACAAACACACAGAAAGACAGACAGACAAACAAACATCCAAATAAACCAAACCAAACAAACACACATATAGACAGACAGACAAACAAACAAACACTCAGAAACCCTGACTCACCTGTTCAAAACAGACTTGCGACAAACACTGCCCTACGATGTTTTCGAACTCGTGGCCTTCGTCTTCGTCGGGTTCGTCTCTTGATGATTTAATTTTTAAAATAGATATAATTTTTTATATTTACTAGTTTTAATTTTGTTAAATAATATGTCATATTTTATTTCTAAAATAAATATTTTGAAAATCTAACCAAAAATATGATTATAAAAACATAATTTTCCATTACATCTTCAAGTCAATCTAACTATTTCAAGCTATCGATTTGAAACTTCTTCTACTCATTCAATTCTGTCTACTACCTTCATTAATTAAACATTCCAAGTTTAATTAATTTAAAACTTTCTCAGTTATATATAGTTGAAATAATCTCACAAATGAAAATTTATCAACCTAAAATTACTCAATCAATTGTGTATACCTTTGCAAAACTTAATTCAAAATTAAACAAAAAATAAAATTTAGAAAAAAGAAAAAAATGTTTTTCATCTCGTCAGATGCATATGTGGGATTCTGGGGGCTGGATTTGTATGGTTGCACAAAGGAACCGTCATATTCATCAGGAAACACAAAAGACTCAACAATCTTCTTCAAAAATCGTTTGTTTTCATTTTTTAAACGTTTTCGGTGGTGCAATTGTTGGAACGCCTGGCATCGCTTTTGAAATGACCGGTTTCAATTAAAAAAAATGTCCACGCCAATCACACGCGTATTTACATGCACTGTGTTTTTGTTGCTGACATGCCTTTGAGATTTACTACGGATGGAATTGTAAAAAAAAGTTATGTTGACCATCTTTACGCCATTTCTTTTTGCATATTTTCGTGAAATTAGTTTTTTGTAATAATTTTCAAGATTGCTAATGAAAATTCCTATTTTTCTTGGGAAGTTCATTTTACTGTGTAAATGGATTAATATTTAGTATTCAATAATGCTCGATTTCTTTACAGATTCAACTTTTGATTATATTAACGTTAATTGAGGTATTTTATTCAAATTTAATGTTTACGATTTAAAATAATATATAAATTAAAATAAATTAAAACGCCTCGCTCAAAAATGTACGTTCGTTTCCCTTTAATAAAATTCACTATGTTCGGTTGGAATATCCATTTGAGGTGTAGATATAAACAATGCTGATGGTACAGCTCTTATAGCAGATTCAATGAAAAAACTGCAAACAATTGTTTCCAAACTGGTTTTTGAAATTGAAAGGAAAGGCTTGCAAATTAACATCAACAAAACAGAGTGCATGGTTATCAGTAAAAGCAAAACCGCCCCGATCTGCTCCATAATCGTTAATGGTAAACAGGTGAAACAAGTCAACAGCTTCAATTATCTCGGAAGTCTGATTACCTCAGGTTGTAAATGTGATATGGATATCAAAAGAAGAATAGCTATGGCAAAAAATGCATATTCTAAAATGAAAAACACCCTCACCAACAGTAAAATCAGAATATCAACAAATTTAAAACTGTTAAGGGGTTTCATTTTTCCTGTGCTAACTTACGGCTCTGAGTCCTGGACAATTTCTAAAGAAATTAGAACAAAGATTAACGCTTCTGAGATGTGGTTTTTGAGAAAAATTATAAAGTTGAGTTCGAATGACGATGTATTAAAACAGTCCGATTGTGAAAGAGGAAATTACTACAGATAATCCGACGGGGGCAGTTTATGTTTTTTGGTCACACCATGCGGAAGGAAAGAATGGAAAATCTAAAAACTACTGGAAAGATTGCAGCGGAAAAAGATCGCGGTCAACAACGAAGAACGTTTGTGAAGTCCTTGTATCACTTGTTGTGTATCACTACGTTTCAACTACTACAAAGTGTTAAAGATCGGGTTTTGTGAAGGTTGATAGTTGCCAATGCCCTGAAAGGATATGGCACGAGAAAGAATATGTTTTTTCAAATTATTATCATTATGATGACTAATAAATACCTTTTATCAACAATCACCATCATCATATCACCATCATTATCATCACCACCATCACGCCATCATCATAATCACCAAAATCAGAATCATCATCTTCATCATCATCATCATCATCACGACCGACAGACGTTTTCTCTACCCCTTCCTAATCACCTTCATCATCTTCCTTAACACGTACCCCGCCGGTTTGGGAAAGTTCATGGCCGGTCAGGTAAGTTCCATTTGCTGGTTTTTCAATTCACTTTGTTGTTTTCTAATACAAATTTTCGCCGCTAAAAGTGCAACGCTTGATTGTTTTGTATGCTCTACATTTTAATTTACCTTTTAACTATAGATGTATTTATCCATCCGTTTGTTCATCTATCCATCCATCTATCCATGCATCTATCTGTCCCTGCATCTATCCAATCACCTATTCATGCATCCAGCAATTCATTCATTCATTCACTCATCCATCTCCGACACACAAAGCTGACTTTGAAGGAGGCAATCAACCAGATGTTCGACAACATGACTTGGATAACTGCTGAGCCACAAAATGAAATGGAGATGAGGTCCTTGGATGGATGGATCTTTAAATGGATGAAAGAAAGGATGAATGAATTAATGGATGCGTGAATTAATGGATAGATGAATTAATAGATGAATTAATGGAGAATTGAACAAAATATGTACACATCAGCGGTACTTTTATTTAGAAAAATTCCTACATACATTGTAACAGTTAAATGAAATTTAATACATTTCCTCGGCGATAGTTATTCAAATAAATAAAATCTATTAATTATAATTTTATCATAATTATAATTAATTAAATAGCGTCGTGATATCCTGTCTCGTAATTTTGCATAATTAATTTAATTGAAATTAATTATAAGATACTTGAAAACCTGGCAAGGTCCATGGGATAATGTTCTCCTAACTCTCGGCCTCTATCTTATTATGAAGGTCTGTTGTAAATAACCTCGGCATCATATCCATCCTAATTCTTTATTATATCATTGTAATTATTACTGATTCAATTATTATTATTATTATTATTATTTTACTGTTTATTATTATTGCTATGATTAGTTGTTTTCATCGTCATCATCATCATCATTATTATTATCATTATCATTGTTATTATTATTGTTATTATTATTATTATTATTATTATTATTATTATTATAAAAATGATATGTGATAAAAATACAACTCTCTTGTTCAACGTCTTGTAATTATTATTATTATTATTATTATTATTATCATCATCATCATCATTATTATTATTATTATTATTATTTTTATTATTATTATTATTTAGTCTTCAATTTCTTTCAAGTTTTGGATGTGTGCCATCGCCACCACCCTCCCCATCCCTTGCGGTGTCTTCATACCTGCCTTTGCGCTTGGTTAGTAGATTTTATTCTCCAACATTCTATTTAAATTCGTCACTGAATTTAAATTCTACATTTTGTTAGGCCTATTTTTTGGTCATATAGATGAATAAATAAATACTCATTTAATGGTGATGACGATCAATCGCTATGTTTTTATGTTTATTCACCGTGTCAACCTGTGAGCTATTATGAATTTGTGATGTATTCAATGTTTAATCGTTACTGCGATGATGCCTATGTTGTTGTTGTTGTTGCTGTTATTGTTGTTGTTATTGTTGTTGTTGTTATTACCGTTAATTTTTAATTATTTATCTACTGTTCTACTTTTGTTAACTATTTCTTTTCATTCAAACTGTAAATATCCTTAAAATAGTATATGCAATAAATTTCAATAATAGCAGCAATAATAACATTAATAATCATAATAATAATAATAATAATATACAAATAATAATGATAATGATGATGATGATAATGATGATGATAATAATAATAATAATAATAATAATAATGATGGTAACAGATCTTTTATTTTTCATCAAATACGTAAAATCAATAATTAATTAAATAATAGAAAAATTGTCATGATTAAAATAAAATCATAATAATAATAATAACAATGATGATGATGCAAAACATCCTCCTCTTCCTTCTTTCCATTCAGGGGCAGGAGCGGGCAGATTCGTGGGAGAAGTGATAGCCTACTTCTGTCCAGAGGGCATACGGGGCAAGATGATCCTGCCCGGGGCGTACTCCCTCGTAGGGGCTGCCACACTTTCAGGGGCCATGTCCCATACGGTCTCACCCGCTGTTGTCGTCTTCGAGTTAACCGGACATATGGGCCATCTTCTCCCATGCGTGGTCAGTTAGGAGTTTTTGGTCAATTTTTTCTCTTCTTTTTTGGTATTTGTGTATGTATATATTCATTCGAATACTTTTTAAAAATAGTACTTTTTTAAAAAATTTTAATCAATAAATAACTGCGAATTTGATCGAAATGTTGACTGTTAATATTTAATGACTTAGAATTTTGAATACCTTTTGAAATCTAAAATAAATTAGGAAAATTTTTTTACTAAATTCGTTTAGGTACTAAATAAAAATTTTTAGTTCAACCGAGAGAACCGTATTTTGCTTGAAACCTCTCGGCAGATAGCGGTGATGGTGGCAGGGGCGACAGCCAACTTCATCCAGCCCTCCATGTACGACGCCATGATTGAGATCAAGAAACTTCCATACCTTCCGCATAAAATCAATCCAGAGACCTGCAAGTCTGTACTAAACCGCAGGCTCAATATGTTTCTGATTCAATCAACATAATTACCTGAATTTTAATATATCAAAAAAATCACAAATTATTAAAAAGTTGAAACTTGTAACGAATATTAATTTAATAAAAAACCAAATGACCTTGACACCACATATACTCAACTGGCCAGCGCCCACGATGTGACAGCAGAAGACATAATGGTACGTGACATACAATGCATATCAGATGAATGCACCTACGGAGACATCTGGAAGGCTGTTAGCGAGCTCAAATTCAGATCTTATCCGTTCGTCAGTGGGAAAGGTCGGATCTGTTTTATCTCATTCAAATCATGGCCTGGTGATCTCAAGACTTTAAGATCTTGTTTTGTATCTCTTGTGTTTTCAGATTTTATTTTGTATCTTTTGGATTTTGAAAACTTATTTCTTATTTCTTGTATCTTCTTTCAAGTTCAGCCGCTTGTCCGAATGAACAAGCGTCTGGAGCCTAAAAATACAGAATAAAACTAGGATATCATTGATGCTGCTATGTTTATCTTATTTTGAATAAATACAAATTGGCTGTTATCTAATAACTAACTAAAGAACTTAACTATTGATAAGAAATAAACCTGAAACGTCAAAAAACACGAAATAAAACAACACCAGGCAATAAATTACTCGGCTCCGTTCTGAGGTCTGACTTGAAGTACATGCTCTTCCGACATTTCGCCTACACGACCTTCAACTTCAACACGAACGTGGCCAGCCGCACGAACGTTGCCAGTCGACAGCACAGACAAATTCAGCTAACCATGGATGAGAAATCTCCGACCAAGCTAGGGCAGCACGACCTGGGAAGCGATGAGGTGCTATGTTGTACATCCGTTTCATTTTTTTTTAAATTCTTCATTTGTCATTTTATTTTTTATTTTGTCATTATAACTTTTATATTTGTTCGTTAATTAATTGCGTACCTACATGCACAGATAATTCTAATTCATTTAATTTATTTGATGAGTTGGTGTCACTCTTTTGATTTTTCATCCACAATATTGTCAAATTTGACATTTGTATTTTCAAGCCAAATATTAAAAATAATTCAATCCCGTTCGTCCAACTCGTTTTTTTACGTATACCCATTTATAATTTTTAATTGATCAAAATAATAATTTTATTCTTTTGTAACAAACACGCAACATTTCGTTAAAATGAAAAATAAAAAAATCATAATAATATTAATAATAATAATAATGAAGTAGCAAAACCACACACAGAAGATGGCCCTGGAAGACCAGCTCTTGAATGAGCGAGCGGATTTTCAGACGTGCCCTATCGACCCTGCTCCTTTTCAGATACCCAGCAAGACCTCTCTTTATAGAGTTAGTAGCTACCAAATCCAAAATCACAAAATTCTAGAATTTGATTACTTGTTTTGTAGTGCTTTCACAATACAAATAATTCATTTCTGTGTCTATTCATAGGTGAGCGTTTGCGGCTTGAAAAAATCTTGTCTGCACATAGCTTTAATATTTACACTAACTACTTTATCTACTTAGTAATCTATCCATTCATCCACTCATTCATTCATCAATCCGCACATCAAACTATGAATTATTTATACATACATTCATTCATTCATATATCCATCCATTTATTCATGCACCTATCCACCTATCCATCCTTCTATCCAAACACCTATCAATCTATCTATCCATCCATTTAATAATCCATCTATCTATTCGTCTATCCATCCATCCATCTATCCATCCATCCGTCCATCTATCAACAACAGATACACTGGTTGTTCTCCTTGCTAAGTTTGCATCATGCCTTTGTAACGGAGGATGGAAAAATACTTGGAGTCGTATCTCTGGCTGAGGTGCTTAATAATAATAATAATATCAATAATAATAATAACAATAATAATTATTATAATTATTCTTATTATATTAATTATAACAATAATAACGATCTTAATAATAATAATGAGTAATAATAAATTAGTAGTAGTAATTGTAGATAGAGTAGTAGTAGTAGTAGGTAGTAGTAGTAGTAGTGATAGTAGTAGTAGTATTAGTGGTAGTAGTAGTAGTAGTAGTGGTAGTAGTAGTTGTTGTAGAAGTTGTAGTTGTAAAAGTAGTAGTAGTTGTTGTTGTAGAAGCAGTAGTAGTAGTAATAACGATAATAATGATAAAAATAGTTACGACATTTTTTCATTTTCAATAGGTACGAAGTGCTATCCAAAATCAAGTTGAAACAATGAGTGCATGATGAATGGATGGATAGATGAATTAGTGGATAGATGAATGTTAACAATTCTTCGGTATTGTTTGTACCACAACTTGCCCTATTTATGATGTAGAGTTAGGCACATATATTACATACAAATTTCAACTATGATAATTCTAATTTATTTCTATTTTGATTTTTACGCTATTCACAATCGTGAATGGATGGATGGGCTGAAGGTATGAATAGATGATAGAATGAATGAATGAACGAACGAATGAACGAACGAACGAATGAATGAATGAATGAATGAATACAATTTTAATAATTTCATCTAATGATCTGATCCAGTCAATAACACAATGAATATTTTAATCTATTTATTTTATTCACTTATTTATTTCATTTAATTTAAAATGTATCTAATAAATAAAGAAACAAACAAATGAATAAACAAACAACTGAATAAACAAATATATATCTAACTCCACTCGTTTATTTGTTCGGAAAAATTAATCCTATTTAATATAGGCGACTTCCTTCCATCCCAATATCCTTTCATACTTTCCAGATCCATTCCAGATACTCATCCATTCGGACAAGCAGCCGCAGGGTTCGGAAGATAAAAAATAAAAGTTAAAAGTTTTAAATCGACCTGCTTTTGGACCTAAAGCAAATATTTTCCAGCTGCAGAGTTGTCAACGAGTGGAACAAACTGCGAGATGAAATAATATGCGCAGAAACAACTAATATAACTCTAAAGAAAACTTGGCAAGGATATTAAAAAAAACTCTCTGGGTGGTCCCGTCACAGACTTAGTCTTCTTGGATTACTATAAAAAATCTTCGTTATATTGTTATGTTATCACATTGTCATCATCGCAACATTTTATATTCTAACAGAGTTTTAGCTCACGCCATCATTAATATCATTTTGCTAGTTAACGAACTATAGTCTCTAGAAAAGCAGATTTATGTGGGTTTAGCTGGCGGCTCATTAATATATAAACCGTTAGAAATTTTACTTTTGTGAAAGAATGATTAATGAATAATAATTAATGTATTCTATGTTTCATTATTATTATAATATTATTTTAGATACAAATTTTTAAAATTTTTATAAATTTAAAAAATCAAATACAACAACTACAACTACTGCATGCAAATACGCATAAACATACACATTCACATACATTCAAAAACTCATACACATATACACACATACACATATACACACACACATACATACATACATACATACATACATACATACATACATACATACATACATACATACATACATACATACATACATACATACATACAAACATACGCGCAGGAGCCGTCTAATGGTCGCGTTTCACCAGCCCAGGTGTTGACGGCTTTAAAGTCGTTTAATAATGGTTCATCGGGAGGCCTTGATGGCTTGAGGCCTCAGCACATAAAGGATTTACTTTCCGGTCCGACGCCCACCGATGAATTGTTAAATAACCTCACCCGGTTTGTAATTTTGTTGTTATCTGCGGTCTGCCCTCCCGCGGTTAGCCGTTTCTTTTTTGGGGCCGTCTGGTGGCTTTGGGGATCAGACCCATCGCGGTGGAGAATTTCTGGAGGAGGCTGGCCAGTAAGTTGTGTTAGTGTTGGCGCTAGTGTTGGAACAGGTCAAAGCCAAACTCTTTCCTATCCAATTGGGCGTCGGCGTGAAAGGTGGTGTTGAGGCGGCCGTCCACGCCGTACATGAACTGATTTCAATACTTCCAAAACAGTCGGGATTCTTGAAGATTGATTTCAAGAACGCTTTCAACACCCTGAGAAGAGACTCAATGTTAGAGGCAGTTAAGCAGCACTGTCCTCAAATTTATAATTTTTGTCATTCCGCATATGGCCGAGTCTCTTCTCTCGGTTACGACGCCTGGGTTGTTGAATCGTGCGAGGGCGTACAACAAGGCGACCTTTTGGGACCGATGCTTTTTGCTCTAACCCTTCACCCACTGTTGACGAAGTCATCTTCGGCGTTTGTTTGTGGCTACCTGGACGATGTCAGCTTGGCCGCAGAGGGTAACACAAACAAGTGTGAACTACTCGTAAATGACACGTTTCAAATGCCACACGTGCTGGCTAATGTCCCCACAGTGCCCCATTCATCATTAAATTTTTTAGGCACTCCAATGATGGCCGGCGATCATCAGGACAGGTTTTTTAAAAAAATCTTTTTGAGCTAAGGTTTGCCCTCGAACGTGTCTCTCTTCTCCCGGTCCACGACGCGATGACAATCATCCGCGGCGCCCTCAGTTTGCCGAAATTGATGTATTTTGTTAGTGTTAATGCAGCCATTTTGGGCGAATTTGAGGGTGCTCTGCGAGTGGCCCTCTCAGCCATTTGTAACGTCAATATTACCGACAAGGGTTGGTCTCAGGCTCAGCTGCCGGTACGATTTGGGGGACTGGGGTTACTAAGCGTGGTTCAGCTTGCACCAATTGTTTATAAATCTTCTGCATCTGCCACGCTTGACCTACAGTCTGCCCTTCTTCGGCAATACACTGTACTCCACCGACTCCATTCCAACCAACAGACCTTTCCCAGAGCAACATATTGGAGGAAGCATATAAACGCACATTCAAAGAGTTGCTTTTCTCAAGCCCTGACTCGGCGACCTCAGCTCGCTTGCTGGCAGTATCCAGCGAGGCGAGTTGTGGCTGGCTGAGATCTTTGCCCAATACGTCGGTGGGTACCAGATTGGATGACGAAACGGTCATGACGGCCATTGGTTTCCGGCTGGGGTTGGCCGTTCAGAGTCGATACACATGCAGGTGCGGCGTGGAGGCGGATGAACTCGGCTATCATGGTCTTGTTTGACTGTTTAGTGCCACTCATCAATGATTTGGTTTTAACATACACACATACATACAAAAACACATACACAATCATATATATACATAAAATTTACATACACAATCACATACATACAAACAAACAAATTTACATACGTACAAACACAATGCATCAAACTGGATGTAACGAGAAAAGCAGTTAGTTAAGTACATTCGTGTATCAGTATATTGTTATTTTTATTATTATTATTATGTTTATTATAGCATTATATATAAATATTTGTATGTGTATAAAACAGTTAAATGTGTGGTGTTTTGGTCTTAATATACAAATAATGGAATAGATGAATAAACAATATTTATATATGAAGTTTATTATTTATTATAATTTTATTTTTATAGTTTAATTTAAATTAATGCAGGAGAAACGTTAATAATTTCAATGTTTTATTAGCTACCTTCAAATTAAACTCCCAATAAAACTTCTTACAATTGTAAATAATTTGAAAAATTATAACAAAAATAAATATTGGGTAGTAGCGCTAGTAGTAATTGTAGTAGTTGTAGTAGCAGCAGCAGCAGTAGCAGCAGAAAAATTGAAAAAAATTTCCTAAAATGTCCGAGCTTGAAGTCGAATCCAACCTCTCCGAGAGAAGACCAAGATTGAATTACACCGAGACACTGGTGAGTTTGTTTGCTTATTGTTTAGGCTGTTTGATATGTTTAGGCTGTTTGATACAATGTTTAGGCTGTTTAATACAATGTTTAGGCTGTTTAACACAACGGTGATGGTTGTTTCTTTTTATTATAATTATATTATATTACTTATATTACTTGTACTGTATTACTTACCAACTTGCACTAACTCATTTGTAATGTTTAAGTCTATAATATAACGTTTATCTACAATGTTTAATAATAATACGGTGTTTATAAGGTTTATAATGTAAGGTTCATGCTGTTTAGTAAAACGTTTACATTGTTTAGTAAATTATTTTTTACAATAAGTTTTCAGAATAATTAGCATTGATATAGTACTTTGATAATGATGATGAATAAGATGACGATGAAAACGCTGATGAAATGACGTGAAATATGATGAAATGAGCGATAATGAAAATGATGATGACGACAATAACGATGATGTCATTTAAATATTTAGTAATTAAATTTCACCAAGATGCACGGACATTACACGACAAACAAGTTAAGAAAATTTGTCGCGCACTTGCAAGCCGTCAAAAAACCTGAAGCTGATGTCGCCGCCACTGATGCTGTTCAAGTTGATGACGCTTGCTGTGGTGGTGGTGCTGGTGGTAGCGTTGGGGATCAAAACGCAAGATCAAAAATTAAAAGTAAGTGATATTGATATGGTGATGTAATGATGAATTAATGACGATGTATAGAGAGGTGAGTTGTTATATTTTGTCCATATTGCTGTCCTGTGCATGTTGTTAGCAATTTCGAGTTCATGATAAAGAACATAGAAAAAACTAATAATGACGATGTTTAGACAAATAAATAAATGCAAACCTTCAAAAGAAATTCTACCGAAGGTCTTCAACGACACCACACAAGATTTGATTTTCCTAACTTTGCTGGGCCTTTCAGTTGCCATCTTGAGCTTTCTCATTGATGTCTTCTGCGATGCCTGCATTCTAGGTTCTTGCAATTTTTATTATTTATATTAATATTTTTAATAATTATAATTATTATTTGATATTTTCATTAATTTAACTTAATAATTATTTTCAGCACACCGTTGGTTGTACAGAGCCACTGAGGTTTTAATTGGGACTAGTCTCATTCATTATTAATTTATTTTTAATAATTTATGGACAGATGAACTCTAAATATTTACAACAAACGCGGTGATAGATTTTGCAAAATTGGCTTCATCTGACGTAGAATGAGATTAGGATTGGTAGAAAACAAATATTTGCTTCATGTAAAAATTAACTCTGTATAAAATTAACGCCATGTTAACAATTTTTCGCGTACAATTTTAAAATTTTTCATACTTAACCGTAGATCAACTGAATTGAAAAATCTTTTTTTTATAACTTATTTAAAAATTGAACCTAAAAAAGATATCCGTGGTGGCCCAGTATTTGGTGTGGGTGGCCTTCCCTGTATTGTTAATGTGCTTTTCAACGGGGTTCGTTCACTTCCTAGGTCCCACCGCTTTTGGCTAGTGTTCAATTTCTCGTGCGAAATCATTCATATCAGTAATTTTTATCATTTAAATTGTCTTCTCATCATTATTATTTGTATTGTTGTTGTTGTTGTTCTATAAACACCGACGATGGTAAATAATTTGGTAAGGTGATGAAACAAGTAAAAAATAATAATATCAAAAGTTGTGATTTCGACAATATAAGTAATCTTTATTAGTTAATGTTAGTGTTAGAACTATGGATATATATATATCCATTTATATCCATGAAACCATGGACATATGTATCCATCATATATATAGAGAGAGTATATGGCTAGAACAGTAAAAACTGTAAAAAGAAATATCACACAAATTTAATTTAAACTCCATCCAACGAATGAAATGATGTAACTCGATTATCATAAATGAAACACAGGCTCGGGTATACCTGAGATAAAGACAATCTTAACGGGAGTTTCATTGAAGCAGTACCTCAACTTTTCAACTCTCGTCTCGAAAGTCGTCGGTCTCACTTTCTCTCTTGGATCTGTTATGCCGCTAGGAAAACTAGTTAAGTTTACTTATATAACCGAAAAATTGATTGATTAATAATTCACTTACTCTTACCATAGGCCTCCTTAATTAATCAATTAATTTTTTTATGAAATTTTCAAACTGTCATTTTTTTAAATGGAATGATTTCTATAATTTTTGATTAAGGGACCATTCGTTCACGTCGGGAGTGCAACAGCATGGTGCCTCTCCAAGTTTTTCCCTGCAATACAAAAAGTATGCATCAAAGTTGCATTTAGCAATCGAATAACATGATTATTTCCAAAAAGAAAATATATTGTTGATGTGTGCAATGCATATAGATGCCCGCCTTTTACATGCAATGTGTGATGTGTTGTTTGGCTGATATTTCCGATACAAATTAAATAACACTTCTACATATATTTCAATGAACTAATTAAAATTGTTTGAAAAAATAAAAATAATTTGAGAAAAAAAATTCAAGATGGAATCTGCCTACAGTCACGTGTTAACAGCTGGTGCGGCGGTTGGGGTGTCTTGTATATTCGCCACGCCAATTGGAGGTATTTTTTGGTATTTGAGTTTATATATACTCGTGTTTCTATTGAGTCATTTGTATATTTTTTGGTATTTAGGTTTATGTGTTTACGTGTTTCTATTAAGTCACTTTGTGTATTGTTTGGTATTTAGGATTATGTATTTACATGTTTTATCTGGTCGTTTAATGTGTACTTTTTGGTATTTATGTAATATGTATTCGTGTATCTACTGAGTGGTTTGGTGTATTACCTATTTGACTGATGAAAGTTAATTTCAATGATACTTTTATTTATTAATATTAACTAGACTTGGATATTTTTGGAATTAAAAAAAAACAGAATTTTACGCTGATATCATTCAGATTATGTTGCGAATTAGTATCAAAAAAATTTGAGTTGTAGTGATTAAATATCAATAACATTTTTTAAACAAAAATACTGCTACCTATCAATAATAATAATAATTGATAATAATAATAATAATAAACAAAAACATTTTTTACAACAAAAATATAAAATAAATATATTATGAAAATAATTACGACCCATTGTACAAGGTATAATGTATAGCATCGAGGCGACAGCCACCAACTACGCCACGAAAAATTTCTGGAGGTGTCTGTACGGGGCCATGGTGGGTGCCATCTCGTTCAGGTTGATGACAACCTGGGCCAGATCAGAACGTTAGTGAACTTAGGGTCATTATAATTCTGCGTTATGTATCTTATGTTCGTCAATATGTAGGCTATAGAATAATGTGTGACATTGCGTTATAAACATGCGATAAGGAGTCATTAGCATATGTGCTATTAGCGTATTTTTCTGTTTAAAAAATAATTAGCATATGTGCTGTTAAAGGGTTATTATCATAATACGTATATGTTTCGTTAAGATATCAAAACCATCTTCGATACACTGCCCCTTGTGTACATAAATTTTTTTAATTAAAAAAAAATTTCGAAACATGTGTTTTTACAAACCAAATGACCTAATTATTGATTAACCTTTAAAAAATTAATACATCACGTTAATCTAGAGACTTTAAAGGTAGAATGCATTAAAATATTGTAAAAAAAATTCATCTGACATTTTTAAATTTACAAATTATATAAAATCGACAAATATATTGTAAGTACACACCCCTAATCTCACCCAACCAACCGACCGACCGACCATCCAACTGACCGATCAATCAACTGACCAATCAAACCATCCAACCAACCAACCACCTGAGTAGCCACCATCGTACCATTCTTCAAATCTGATCTGAATCATTCGAACGCTTACGATGAGTTGGAAATCCTGATCTTCATTGCGCTTGGGTTCGTTACTACTTTTCCAAATATTTTAACAGTTTTTTGGTCAGCCGAAACATCAGAAAAAAATTGAAGTTTAATTCTTTTTGTATTGCTGTGAATTATATTGAAAATATTTCATGATCACAGTGTCATATGCGGATTGTTGGGAGCCCTCTTCGTATTCAGTCACCAGAGCGTTGTCCTCTTCGTTAGAAGAAGGAAAAAATTAAGTGCCTGGCTCCAGAAAACGTTACCAAATTTTTTTTTAATATTCTGATCAATTTAATCAGCCAACAAATTATTAACTTGCTCTTAAAATTTTAAATTTTCAAAGTACGTTGTCTAGTGGTCACAATTAACGTTCTTGAAAATGAATAAACATTTTGTAGACGGTTTGTATACCCGGGGGTGGTCACTTTGGTCATCTTCACAGTTCTCTTCCCGGCTGGTTTGGGACAATATATGGCTGGACAAGTCGGTTTTGAGCGTCTTTACCGAAATTTAACATTAAAACACGCCTAACCATGCATATAACATTAATGAAAAATAACTTTCACCAAACAGCTGTCATTGAGAGAGTCAGTGATCCACATGTTTGACAACAGAACCTGGACCAGTGCTGAGGCCCACAATGAGGAAGAGTTGAGGTACCTGGAGGTCTGGAGGGGGCCCCTAAACAACCCCATCTTAACTGTTTTTCTTTACTTCATAATGAGGGCAAGTTATTAAAAAAAATTACAAACGTTCATTCTTTTTTTCAACTTTACAAAAAAATGTGAATCGTTCATTTAAATCATACATAAAATTCGTGCACATGTAACGTTGTTTTCTGCAGTTCTGGATGTGCGCAATAGCAACCACGCTTCCAGTTCCATGTGGAATATTCATTCCTGCCTTCACTCTAGGTGAGAAATTTTTTAATAACTTTTTATTTTTTAAAATCTTTGAAAATGTTGTTTGCAGGTGCTGCCTTCGGTCGATTATCTGGAGAGGTGATGGCTTATTACTTTCCAGGCGGTATCAGAGGGAATGCCATCTCGCCAGGAGCCTACTCGATCATCTGCGCAGCTGCACTCTCCGGAGCCATGTCGCATACGGTGTCTCCGTCGGTTATCGCCTTTGAAATGACTGGCTACCTGGGCCATATTCTCCCATGCGTCGTTCGTCATCTTTTTGCCATCATTACGTTTTCATGATAAAATTATTGATAGAATAGATTTTCAAATTAAATTCAAGTGATAAATTAAGAATAATATACTTGTCTTTTCGACACATTTAAAAATTTATCTGATCCGGTTTTCTTATGACCTCAATTCCAGATTAGTGTGTGCGTAGCTGGAGCAGTTGCAAACTTCTTGCGCCCTTCCGTGTACGATGCCATCATCAAAATTAAAAATCTACCATTCCTGGCACCTGTCATCAACCCCCAGGAAACAAAGTTTGTTAAATTTTTTTTCAATTTTTCATTATCCAGAACAAAAGTAATTAACAATAGCAATCAAGAAAACAATGATAACAAGGCTAATGTTTTTCGAAAGCGCTTACGAGGTGACGGCTGAAGACATGATGGTAAAGGAAATTGACAAAGTTTATCTAACTGATACTCTAGAACATCTTCTCGATCTGGTCTGCAGTAAGAACAAGGAGAACTATCCTGTACTCAAAAATAGAGGTCTGAACTGTCGTTGGTTTCATTATTATAATTTAGATTTGTCATACTTCACACAATATGGAGTTCATCGAGTAATCACACATAATTTGGAAATTAAATAAAACATCTTTTCCAGATGAGCCACTTTTCATGGGAACGATAACGACGAAAGATTTGAAGAGGCTGATAATAGAGGAGGCAAAAGAGGAGGACGAGAGCAGTGGAGACTTCCGCCAAGCACTGGCGAGAACCAGGAAACCATCATCTGTCGTTCTTCTTATTAATAAAATTCTCAACGTTGGTTCCTTTTTGTAATACTCATTTAAACATTTTTATTATTCATTTCAGTGTTTCATTTATTCGTTCGTTCATCCATTCATCCCTTCATTAGTTCATTCATACATTCATTCATTCAGCCAATAAATTTATCGAAATTTTATCGTAAATAAAATCAACGCTAACATTAAACAAAACCACAAACTAAAACTAATCAGGCAACGAAGCTGGTACCTATGCATTTATTCAGTAGATAAACCGAACTTATTAGATTAAGATAATTTTTTTTCCGGAAAAAAAAATTTCTTTTTTGTATCCACGAAAGTTACGTAAAATACCCACCGCACAGACGAATTTTTTACAACTGCCCATTTTTTTACGTTATACATACTTCCCGATTGGTTTTAAAGTGTAGAATGATGATAAGTAAAATATAAAATTATAATTATATTTATAAATGTATTGGAAGCGAAAATAATGAAACGAAATTGTAGGACAACGACATACTGAAAGATAATCCAACTCCAGAAATGAACAGTGAACTGCACAACAACAATCAAGTAAAAGTTCTGTGTTAATTGGTTTTAGTTAGATAATATTAATTTATTAAACTGCTATTTAATTTATTTATTATAATTGAATATTTAATTTAAAAATCTTTACATTTTAACCAGACGATGGTTGCTTGCAAATTAGCTGACAATAACGCAACCGAAGTTGAAGGGACAAAGGTAATTGTTTAGAATTTAATGGACTAAATTCATATCCCATTATAATTAATAATTAAGTTATATATCTTAATTAATTCCTAAATTAATAGTAAACGACTTAATAAACAAAAAAGTTTATTATTTCAATAATTTTAACCTGATTTGACACATTTCAACGAATTTAATAATAATAATAAGAAGAAATTGATCAATAATCTCGTATTCCGTTGAATGGCCGCAATCAAACTCAAAACCGAGACAACAAAAAAATAACTTCAACCTGGATTATTAACATTTGTGAAAGACTCTCATATGAGGAAAGATTGAAGAGATGTGGACTGACAACTTTGGACAAACGTAGGACCTTATTCAGGCGCACAAAATCATAACGGGTGAAGATGAGATAGATTCATTCCTATTCTTCCAGTTTACAGAAAATAGAAACACAAGAAGGCACCAGTACAAGCTTTGCAAAGAAAGGGTAGGAACAATAAAAGGATGATTTTTCAGCTCGAGAGTTATTGAACATCGGAATAAACTGGACAAAAAACTGTAACGGCTCCTACAACGCTGGAGTTCAAAGTCAGACTTGGAAGATTGGGATTTTAAATCCATATTATTAGCCAAAATCGATCCAGTGGTCCTCACACAGAGATATCTACTGAACCACGATAATCCTTGTTGTGTTATGTTGTGCTATGCTATGCTATGTTCTGTTTTGTTAGGTTAGGTTATGCTATTTTATGTTATGTTAACCGCGATTTCGTCATTTTTAAAATAAAACAAACATTTCATGAAGACAGCATAAACATTATATAAGTGAAATGTTAAAAACTTTGAAAAAATGTTTTCTAAATTAATTTGTAAACATCGTTAGGTGAGGAGACCGTCTAGATTTTTCATCACCAGAGTGGAAGATGAGGATTTGAGCAGGATCAGACAGCTGAAGTTCAAGAAGGAAGAGAAGAATAATGTAGGAAAAAACAATATTTTGTTTTCATTCCAATAAATTTACGTCCTTGAGAATCTTTTTAATAAGTTTGAAGACTGGATCTCAAAATTTCAACATTCCTTGTGAACGTAACCCTTTTAATTTGCCTGTAAACTCAACCTTACGTTCTAAATATGACAAAATGAATTGTAATTCATTGCGATTGTAACACTAACCAAACTATTTAACGAAGAACGAACTTTGGTACAAGAAGCAACTGAACCAGATTGAAGTTGAGTTGAAGGACTACGTGGATTTTACAGCCCTGCACATAGCCAGCAAGTTGAATCTCTACAAGGTTGGTATCACACTTCTTATAATAATTTGTATCATAAGATGAATTATTTGTATCACAAATTCGATCATTTATCTAATGATCGAAGAATTTAAAACGCAAATGTTTGTTAGGCTGTAATAATTGGCCCAAGTTCTTTAAAATATAGAAATTGCGAAGGTTCAATTCGAACGCAGATGGAACAGACTATTACGATGGCCCGTACAACGCTCAAGACGAAAAATAAAAGATAATACACATGACTATGATAGAAATAATTTGATGATTATTTGAGACGAAACGTGAAAACACATATTTTCAGATTCACTGGATATTTTCACATCTGAGCATTCATCAAGTTTACGTCACTGACAAGGGTTTCTGTGTTGGAGTGCTGGGATTATCTGAGGTGGTTTGTCGTTTCTATTGATGATGAGAACTACACACACACACACACTCACACGCACAAAGCAAGCGACAAGCTTAAACACTCGACCAAAACTAAATGACAAAATAACGAATTGAGTTTTTTTTAAATGGCCTATTAACTCATCACTCCCGACCCGAAACGTTTCGTTAACAGTTACTAAAAGCCATCTCCCACCCAATTGGTCCGAAGCCTTACTTCAAGCAATTAGAAGAATTACTGTTAGCAGAACGTCATCAGAAGAATCGTTGAACAGATGACATCAATGATATCAAAGTTAACAACATCAAACAATAATTAATCGCCAATGATGACAGGTCTGAAACCAACTTTATTTATTTATGTATTTATTGACTTTTTTATTTATTCAAGATTGCATATTTCCAGAATGAATAATGATTACATTTCCCTTAAACTGTTGTTTCATAAACCGTTCAATCAACTAAAGACATTGTCAATTATAATACAAACAAACAATACAAATAAAAATAAATAGCAAGCAAATGAAAAATATTTAGCTCCCAGTCACCAAGTCCAATTGTTGATCACGGACAGCTTGACTTAAATCTTTTAAAATTTCTTTGCAGCCATTTTTAGCAGAACTCATAACTTTTTCAAGTCGTTCTTCGTGCAACCTGCCATTCATATTCAACATTAGAATCTGCTCAGTGAGAGGCAGCATGGCTATGGTGAGTTTCAGGTCGCCCTGACTCTCTTCGACATGGTTCAAGTCAATGAGTGGAGTGTCGTCGACATTTCCAGCCGAGCAACAACAAACCAGGCCTGACAAAGATTACGTTCAATTCAGAAATATTGAGGAAATTAAGCAAAATATTCACTAATAATTTTTAAGAAACTCTCAGAATTTGTTAAAAACCAGACAAGAACTTCAAACTTTCTACAGTCTTAACTAAGGAAGTTGTGATTTACCATAACAAACAAGAAAAATGAAACATATTTCAAAATACAAAACAATATAAAAAATTTGTCACCTTTCATGGGAATGCCAGCATCGACCAGAGCCAAAGTAGCAGCATTGATGCTTGCTGCCAAATTACTACCATCAGCTTGCAAAATCTTAAAAATTTATTTATAACTTTATTCATTTTATAAACAGTTTATAATTGTTTTTAACATATTTTTTTAGCTAAAAACAATGAAAAAATCTGCCCAATTCCACAGAAATAATTTTTTATAAAATCTCCGAAACCAAAAAATTGAATATCGATGTAAAGTTTGCATACCTCAATGTAAATATTGATTTGTGATTTTGGATAGAGATGAGTAAGAATGGCTGACTCAAATGTTTGCTTCAGATTCTGACCGATCTCAGTCGACTTCCGATCACCTCTTGGCCTCTGCTTCCGTTCTGTCGTACTGAACACTGCCATGCTATATTGGCAGTTCACTATCGCTTGATCATGCATTGGCTTATTTTTTCCTGATTTGGCCTGATAATTAAATTTTAATTATTTAATATTATTTATTTATTTAATAATTTCATTTTATACACATAATTTATGATAATAAATATCAAATCCGATTAAAAACAAAGTTGTCTTTAAATAAAGGTTGAAGTTTAAATAAAAAAGCAGATTTAACAAATTATTTATATTTGGAATATTGTCTTTTTTTATGGCTATTTTTATACAAACACACACACTAACATAGCACAACATAGCAAGCAAACACAGTAAACTTTAAAAAAGCATTGCCGTTTTTCGTATTAATTTCAATTCAAACTAATTCAATTTTTAACTAACATAGCTAAAAAATAATCTATTCTATTATTAATGATTAATCAATTAGTATTAGTGATTAGTCTTTCTTGCAAAAATAATGTCAATCTTAAATTTTTAATTAAACATCAGTATACTAAAAACTTATTTGTTTAATTTGATAGCAGACAGAAATATTAATAGTCAAAATAAAAAATTAAAATATAAATTAAAAATCAGACAAATAACAAAAATTGTTAGGAAAGAAGACCTCATGAGGGCCGTAGACGGCGGCCAGTACTTTAGTATCGCCCTGTTCTAAATAGGCAGAACCATCAGCCTGCTTGAAGACACCCATCTTGCACCTAACTCGTCTAATTTCGTTCGGCCTTCTGCCGTCAGCGCGAAACTGCTCATCCGATAACAATTCTAATCCAGCCATGTCGGTTCAACTAAGACGTTAATAAGATGAAAACGTGAAATGTAAAGAGGCATAGACAAATATTTTTTATCGGTTTTATAAGTAAACATAAATCCATGTAAGTAAATGTAGATAACATAGAAGACAACACATAATTTTTGACTCGAACGATAAAAAATCACCCTCCAACTCCCCTCCGGAGCGTTGAAAGTGAGCGAAGGCCATTATATTTATTCTAGTTATATGTATCAAACAGTATCTTATTGAACAAAGTAGTATCATAAAGTGAATAAAGATTCTTTTTTCAAAAATTTAAAATATTCTCAATTTGATTTCGATGATGATGATGATTGTGACCTGATTAGTTAAAAACATCAAATAAAACTTATAAAATAACTTATAAAATGCGAAATCGTTGGGGGAAATGACGTCATGCTAACAGTAGTTATTTTACTGCATGGTAGTTAATCAGCCTGTATAAAGGTTATATTCAATTCCTATCAAATAAATTTGACCAAATATCATACGCAGGCAAGACCATTGAATTATTTATAATTCAATAAATATATAGAATTATATAATTCCATGGGCAAAACTAAATAAAGAGATAGATAGATATATACGTAGTTATAATACATTTATAATGTTGTATTTACACATTCAAATTGGACAATTGTGTTATGGTGTAGTCTCAAATTATTTTTATTATATAGATATATATATATATATATTTTTATATATATATATATATATATAGATAGATATATTAGTTACTTTTATCAACAAATTTTAAATAATTTTCAATTTGATTTCACTGCGATATCGATGATGATGATTGTGACCTGACTGATTAAAAAGCATCAATGAAAATTTTTAAAATAAGATGGAGGATTTGTTATATTGTGGTATTCGTAGATAAAGCGAGCAAAATTTTAATATAAAAGCTCTTATAAATCTACGCATATTGGCTCAGCTTGGCTTGGCTCGGCTTGGAATTGGATGTTAAACAAGGTGTGGTCTCAAACTATTTTGAATTCTCCCCGAAAAATTTGAACTGCGTAGCACTGATAACCGTTGCTTTTATAATGAATTTATATAATATATATATATATATATATATATAAATTAATAAGATTATGTTTATATAAAAAGCAATATAGCAGATTCAACCAGCCAACCAGAAGGTTTCGAATGCGTAGAAGTAGTAGAAAACCAGAAGGTGGAAGAAAGATCCACCGACGAGTTGAGAGCTGAGATCCTGGCTCTTCTAGACAAGCCGACCACAAAAGAAAGATGGCAATTAAAGAAATTTCGATCACAAAATGCCAGCCAGATTAGAAAATTCTGTACATTTACGACGAAAGAGGAATGCCTGAAGAATAAAATCAACTGCTATGAGCGGCATTTCAAGAAAATTATCCATTCGAATACTGATGAATCGCTCGGTGATTGTCAGTATCTGAACATGTGCTTCAACATGAACTTTTGCAAGTACGTTCACTATGAAAAGGACGAGAAAGACGAGGAGACATTCAAGATGCCGTCGAGAGAGAAATCTTTCCCTCCGCAGTGGATACAATGCGATTTGCGCTATTTTGATTTTAAAATTTTAGGTAAATTTTCCATCGTCATGGCAGACCCACCCTGGGACATTCACATGGATCTGCCCTATGGAACTATGCCCGATGACGTAATGAAGAAACTCGATGTCTCCTCTTTACAAGATGACGGATATATATTTTTATGGGTCACTGGCAGAGCCATGGAATTAGGAAGAGAATGTCTGACACTATGGGGCTATGAAAAGGTAGATGAACTGATCTGGGTGAAAACAAACCAGTTGCAAAAAGTCATTAGAACCTGTCGTACCGGACACTGGCTAAACCATTCGAAAGAACATTGTCTAGTAGGAGTGAAGGGAAACCTGACGGTCAACAAAGGTATAGATTGCGATGTCATAGTATCGGAAATCAGAGATACGAGTCGCAAACATGATGAAATCTACGGAATTATTGAAAGGTTCTCACCAGGAACAAGAAAGACTGAACTCTTTGGCAGGTTACACAACGTGCGACCCAACTGGCTGACAATTGGAAACCAACTTTCCAGTGTTATGTTAATTGACTCGAAAATGAAAGAGGCATTTTATAATACATACCCAAACGGAATCTGTCCAAAATAACTTTTTTCATTTTATTGTCACTGTGATATTTGAACCATTATTGCAATTTATATTTACTTGAAGTGAATTTATTTTATCCTGACGTCATCTCAATTATCAACGTCATCATAATTGCCTTGCTTTTACAACGGATTTATTTTTAATAAATATCAATTAAATAAATCTTAATTAATTAATTTTGACTTGTGTAGTTTTGCCTAAAACGAGTTATGTCGGTAGTTGAAATATAAGTTTTAAAGCTAAATTTCAACATCACCGTCATCATAAATATCATCATTATCATCAACACGACCATCATCATCAACACGACCATCATCATCAACACAACCATCATCATCATCAACACGGTCATCATCATCAACACGACCATCATCATCACCATCATCGTCTTTTGTTTCAGGATGACGTTCGCCTACAGGTTAAACCATCGTTTGTCCATCTTTAAAACGTCATCATTATAAGCAACAACGCTGACGAGATGATGATGATGATAGAAAAGTTTGTGATGATGATGATGGAGAAGTTTGTGATGATAATGATGATGACGTCATCTATAATGAACGTCTTCGTTGTGGTTATTATTACCATCATCATTTCATACATCATCATCATAATTACTGTCCAAATTATCATCATTATTATCATCATCATCGGGATCTTTATCATCATCATCATCCCGTACACCATCATCATCACCATCAGCGCGCTTTGTTTATGGAACCAAGAATTAGCGAACATGCGACGGCCATGAGGAATAATAATGACGTTAATGATGATGACGACGACGATGATGACGAGGATGGTAATGATGATGATGACCAACAATGAGAAGGATGGTAATGATGATGATCACGACAATGATGAAGATGATGATGACGATTATGATATGTGTTTGTACGAGTATATGTATATATGTATGTAGTATGTATGCGTGCGTGTGTGTGTGTACTTGTGTGTATGCGTGTCTGTACAAACTGTTCCCCCACTAAGCAATCAAAACATGCAATAATCAAATCATCCAATCAATTTATTCGATGCGTGACACATCTAGGACCTATCGCGCTCTGGCTACTTAACGCAATTTCGTTCTTTGTTGTTTGCTGGCTTTCCATACAGTTTTTTTTCTCTTTTTTCCGAAATTATCTGTTTGTCGGTTTGTTTGCTCTTTAACTTGTTTGTTCGCTCGTTCGTTCGTGCGATTGTTTGTCTACTGATTCATTCAATTCATCATTTGTTAATTAGTTTTTGATGAATGAATAAAATTTGTGTCAGTGCTACTTGCGTAATCACAGCATAGAACCATATTCATAAACGTTTTAATATTACAACTCATCGACAAGGTTCAAAATGAAGTCAATTATTTTAGCAAAAAACCAAACAAAACAGAAAAAAAAGACATAAACAAAACCAACATTAACATCACTAACAACAACAAAGAGTCACCAAAAAACAACCAAAAAATATAAAAACGGCATATGTGCGTGTTCTGAAGAATCAAGCGCTAAACAAATTACCTTGGCTAATTGACGTCAATGTGTTCTTCTTATTGCCGGATTTATTCAATTCAACAGAACGCGCTTGCTTTCATTGCGTTAACTCCCTTCATAAAAAAAATTAAAACGACAGAATGAAAGAAAGATCAAGCAGAAAAAAGAATAACAAGAAAGAAAGAGAGAAAGATAGATAGGGGCCAAGACAGAAAGAGAAAGAGAGAGAAAAAGAGAGGCGAGAGAGAGAGGCGAGAGATGGAAATAAAATTATATATTAAATTGAAAAGGGAGGCCTATTTACCAATGTACAACACTTTCTTATGGGTTGAAGCAAGGATATGCAAAGAGCCTCAATTTTTTCAACTTTTAATTATTTTCGGTAAAGTCGATTTTATTTTTTAAAATCTATTTCAAATAAGAGTAATTAATTACCGCATTGAATAACAATTTAAAAAATTAATATTTTAACATTTTAAATAAAAGCAATATTCCGAAATTAGTAAGTATGCGCTCGTTACTTATGACTCGAACGATAAAAATATCACCCTCCAACTCCCCTCCGAAAGTAAACTCCTTGTTCGACCGTTAAAAGTGAGTAAAGGCCGATATACTTATTCTAATTATATGAATAGTATCATAAAATGAATGAAGATATTTTTTCAAAAATTTTTAAAATTCTTAATTTAATTTTTTGCGATTTCGATGATGATTGTGACCTGACTGATTAAAAAACTTCCGTTAAAACTTTTAAAATAGGATGGGCAATTCGTTATGAGAACGTTGGAGGAAATGACGTTTTATTAGCAGCAGTTATTTAACTGCCTGCTAGTGAATTAGCCAGTATAAGGATTATATTCCATTCCTATCAAATAAATTTTACTAAATATCATACGCAGGCAAAACTAAATTAAGAAATAGATAGATAAATGTAGTTATTACACATTGATATTGTTATATTTACACATTCAAATTGTATTGTTAAGGTGTGGTCTCAAATTATTTGGAATTCTCCAAGAAATATTTAAAATTTATTTCCGTTTAACTCTTCATTTCCTCATTTCTCTCAGGCACACTCGATAACATTCACACATACATAAGCACATGCATAATCACGTACGTGATGGATGTTTGGAATTGACAAAAACACACCAGAGGAACCGACCTTGCGCTACTGTTAATTTTATACAAAAACACATCAAATATAGCAGTTCAAACCAGCCTATCAGAATTTCTTATTTTTTGTCGTTGGAGGAAATGACGTCATTTTAATTTTAGTTAATTAGCTGTACGATATTGAATTAGCAAGTATAATTATTATATTCGATTCCAATCAAGACAATTTTTACAAGATATCATATGCACACAAAACTAACTAAATAAATAGATATATTTACTCATTGTACATGTTTAAGTTTTACAATAGATGGTAAGTAAGGTGTGTCCACAAATTATTTGGTGTGACTCAGAAGAATTCAAACTGCGTGGGTAATTTATGTAACGACAACGACTGTTGTTTCAATAATGAATTTATATAACAAAATATACATAAAGTAACTATAAATTATATTATATGTTCTATATGTTTATATAAAAAGCAATATAGAAGATCTAGCCAGCCAATCAGAAAGCTTCTAAGGCGTTACCTACCTGACGACAATTTAGTTTGGCTAGCATTGCTGTTAAGACTGTATAGTAATGTATTACATACATGAAATAAACTTTTTACTGATGTTAATGATTGAGATGATAAGGATGTATGGCTGAAACGAGTATAAATATCAGCTGAAATAGAGTTGAGATCAGTTCAGGCATTTCTGCCTCGCTTGAGGCAGAAATGCTTGAACTCATTTTTTTATCTTTATAGATTTTTTATTATATTTTTATTTCATCTTTTTTTATTTTTAGTTATATAGAGTTATATATGTTGCCTGTGGTTTGTGTGTTTGTATGTTGTATTTTTTTTATATTAGGTGGTTTCTTTAGCGGTTGCTCATACATACATACATACATACATCATGTTTGTTGATGTGGTAGTATTTTATCTTCTGTTTTACTCTTTTTTCTCTTTCTTCTTAAGCCTTGAGTTAAGTTAATAAAACATAGGTAGGTGAGATTAAAAATTAATTTATTATATAGGTAGGCTAGGGCATAAGGTAATTTAGTTACATAGGTAGGTTAGGGACTTCTATTCTATTACTCTTACTTGGGGGTGTGTTTTTCGTTTTGTGTTTTTTTTTGTTTTGTTTCATATCACACATTCAACAGGTAAGCGGTGAATCCTGGTTTTAGTGGAATTTTTGATTGAATGTGGTAGTATGCATGGTTATATAGAGTTATATAGAGTTATATAGAGTTATATAGAGTTATATAGAGTTATATAGAGTTATATAGAGTTATATAGAGTTATATAGAGTTATATAGAGTTATATAGAGTTATATAGAGTTATATAGAGTTATATAGAGTTATATAGAGTTATATAGAGTTATATAGAGTTATATAGAGTTATATAGAGTTATATAGAGTTATATAGAGTTATATAGAGTTATATAGAGTTATATAGAGTTATATAGAGTTATATAGAGTTATATAGAGTTATATAGAGTTATATAGAGTTATATAGAGTTATATAGAGTTATATAGAGTTATATAGAGTTATATAGAGTTATATAGAGTTATATAGAGTTATATAGAGTTATATAGAGTTATATAGAGTTATATAGAGTTATATAGAGTTATATAGAGTTATATAGAGTTATATAGAGTTATATAGAGTTATATAGAGTTATATAGAGTTATATAGAGTTATATAGAGTTATATAGAGTTATATAGAGTTATATAGAGTTATATAGAGTTATATAGAGTAGAGTTATATATAGAGTTATATAGAGTTATATAGAGTTATATAGAGTAGAGTTATATAGAGTTATATAGAGTTATATAGAGTAGAGTTATATAGAGTTATATAGAGTTATATAGAGTAGAGTTATATAGAGTTATATAGAGTTATATAGAGTAGAGTTATATAGAGTTATATAGAGTTATATAGAGTAGAGTTATATAGAGTTATATAGAGTTATATAGAGTAGAGTTATATAGAGTTATATAGAGTTATATAGAGTAGAGTTATATAGAGTTATATAGAGTTATATAGAGCATAAATCCTATATAGATACCTTTCTTTGAGGTTCCTTTCTTTGCCGACCGGTCGGCTTTTTTGCGTTTTTCTATTTTCATTTAAATTAATTAAATAAATTAGATTTTTCCATTCATTTAGGTTCATTCAGGTTCATTCATTCAAGTTGTAGCTTCCAGGGGAGTTCATAGTGGAAGATCAGAATGGTTGTGATGTCACGCTACGTTCGTTCATTCAGTGGCAAAGAATGCACCCCTGGCTGGGGTTTGTTTTACGGTTTCTTTGTGGTCCCTTTCTTTGCCAGTTGGCTGGCTTTTTCGGCTAGCAAGTTTCACCGCGGCTCGTTTCTCTATTTTTATTGAAATTAATTAAATA